AGGGCATCAGTCTGAGAGCACCAGCTGCCACAGGGCCTGGGCATGGGGCTCCCTGCTGTGTTAGGGATCCTCTGGGAATTAATGAGGGATATGGCGATAACGTTTGCTGGGTTATTTGGTGCCTACCATACCCCCTGCAGCAACCGGTAGCTCCCTGAGCTCAGGGGACGACACACTGGGGAGGTGGAACAGGAGGAGGGGACTGGCCATGGGATTTGATATCATCGCCCACGTTTTCCTACTTCTCTGCTCGTCCTCACATTCCCTCCGCTCATTCCTGCGGATCCTCCAGCCTTCCCCATCCCTCCCCCAACGCAGCAAGACACCCGAGATGCCCGGTAACCCAGCTCCTGCGTTCGAAGCCGCAGCTGAAACCCAACCCCAGCCCTTTGCCGCTCCTGAATCATTCACGGGGGGACCGGCCGCAGCCCCCGCCGTCCCCAGACACCCCAGCTGAATCCCTGCGGGAGGACGGCCGGGGCATCGCGGTTGCTCCAGTTCCCGGCTAAAGAAACGAGCTCAAGCAAAGATTTAGATAAGAGGCTTGGGGCAGCTCAGCCTCCCAGGAAGCTGGAGCAGGGAAAGGCTTTGCTGTCATATTTGGGGCTTTTAATATATTTTTGTGCTGGGTGGGGGAGAGAAACCTGGTGCAGGCAGCTCTGGCCACACGGACGAGCTCAAATCAGCCCCAGCAGCCCAGTTTCTCTGCACCAGACAGGTTCTTGGGGGCTTTTGAGCCGCCGCGGGGCAACGCAGACGCTGGTGCATTTTGGGGAGTTATTTTAAAAAGGCAGCAGGTGATGAGCGGATCCATTTTCTGGCCTTTGCTCCGTGCCAGGGTGCATTTCACAGGAGAAGCCATTTCTTTCCAGCTTCCCCCGTTTCTCCATGCCCCTCCTCTCTGTTCGCTACAGGGACGAGTAATTAAATACAGGAGAAACCAGCCGCTTCTCGGTGAAGAGAAATGTTCTCTGCAGCCCTAGGAAGCTGCCCGCTGGCCTTGCCACAATCCTGTCCCCAAACCAAGAGAAAAAACATCGGCAAAGGGTGAGGCAACCACCCCAAAAGTGTCTTCTGGTTTACTGAGCACCCGGTGACTGAGAAAAGGCACCGGTATGGGGCAGGGAGCATCTCAGTGCTGCAGGAGGCTGTGGATGTCCATGAAGGGCAGGGACAGACAGACGCTCACCCAGAGCTCCCACCGTGGGGTTGTTTCTGGCAAAGAGGAGTCTGGGAGGTCATCGCGCCTGCAGGAAAAGATATAAAGGACCAGCTACTTCCACGCCCTGCACCAAGGTAACAGCGGAGGATGCAAAGAGCTTCTGTTAATCACATCCTAAAGCCTTGCGGATGAGCTCGGCTCTTCTCCCGACCGAACCCAGTCGCTCTTTTCCAGCAAATACAACAACAATTTCTCTGAGCATGCAAGGAAAAAAAAAAAAAAAAGCCCTTCTGAGCTTCTGGGACACGAGCCGCTTGGCAGGAGACAGCCCTTCGGCAGCTCGCGCTGGGTTTGTTGCAACTCCCATGGCAAAGCTGCAAGGGCAACGTGCCGAGGGCCCCGGGGCCGGGCTGGAGCGGCCGTCGAGGTCGTGAGTGTGCTGGGGTCGGGCAATGAGAGCGGCTGCAGGAGGAGCCGGTGGCTCCCGGCCGGGCTGGAACCATCGCAGCTGAACAAGCAGAATTAATTTGCCTGCAAAGCTGCTGCTGAGGGCAGCGCTACCTCGGCAAAGCATAAGCTGAAATCCAGCCACGCAGGGGACAGTAACAAGGTTCTCCAACTTGCACAGACTAAATCCATCCTGGTTTTCTTGGGAGAAAATATTTCTTTAGAGTGACACAGCCAGGGATGCGTGCGGAGGCCGGAGATGTTGCCTGGGCAACGCGAGGATGGGAGACACTGCTGCAGCGCATCCTTGGTGGGGAGCAGCGTGCCGTCCCCTGCTCCTCCCCGGCTGCAGCAGCGTGAGCGGTGCAGAGCCCACATGTGATAGAGGGTAGTGGCCAATGGCTCGATGTCCGGATGGAGACTGGTGACGAGTGGTGTCCCTCAGGGG